GTATGATATTTATAGCTGGTTTGGATTCGCTAGTGGACTTGATGTTGCTATCTACGCTGGAATTTGACGTCATTCTTGGGATAGATTGGTTGGTTTCTTGTTATACTACTTTAGATTGTCACTGGAAGACAGTGAGTTTTGAGGTACTGGGGGAGGCACCGTTTATATGTCAAGGAGAGTACACTATGATTCCGGCGTCGATGATATCATTTATGAGAGCTTACCGATTGCTTACTTAGGGATGTCAAGGGTTTCTGGTGACAGTGAGGGATACGAGGATTGCGGAGCTGAGTCTAGAGCAGGTTTTCTGTCATCAATGAGTTTGCGGATGTTTTTCCGGACGAGTTGCTAGGCCTTTCTCCTGACAGAAAGATCGAGTTCTATATTGATTTGGTGCCGGGCACTCAGCCTATTTCGATTCTTCCTTATCAAATGGCCCTGACAGAACTTAGAGAATTAAAGGAATAGCTCCAAGGCCTTTTAGACAAGGGCTTTATTAGACCGAGTTATGTCCCCGTGGAGCGCACCAGTATTATTTGTCAAGAAGAAGAACGGTTCACTGCGACTTTGCATTGACTACCGACAACTCAACAGAGTGACAGTGCAAAACAAATATTCGCTGCCAAGGATCGACGACTTGTTTGACCAATTACAGGGAGCCAGGTGCTTCTCCAAAATAGACCTCCGTTCAGGTTATCACCAGTTAAAGATTAGATATGAAGACATTCCAAAGACGGCTTTCCGGACTCGATATGGTCATTACGAGTTTCTTGTGATGTCGTTTGGACTAACGAACGTTTCGGCATCATTTATGGATCTGATGAATCGAGTATTCCGTGCCTTCCTGGATCGATTTGTTATTGTATTCATTGATGAAATTTTGGTATATTCGAGGAGCAAGGAGGAGCACGAGACACATTTATGCGAGGTTTTGCAAACTTTGAGAGATCACAGGTTATATACTAAATTTTCTAAATGTGAGTTCTTGTGCGACAGTGTAGCCTTCCTCGGACATGTGATATCTGGGGAGAGTATTATAGTGGACTCCTATAAGATTGAGGCCATTCAGCAGTAGTCGAGACCGTCTTCGGTTACAGAAGTTCGCAGTTTTCTGGGATTAGCAAGCTATTACCACAGATTTGTGCAGGATATTTCTAGGATAGTCGTACCCCTGACCAGGTTGACTCAGAAGAATATTAAATTTGTTTGGTCAGACGACTGTGAGGAGAGTTTTCAGCGACTCAAGGATTGTCTGACTTCTACCCCTGTATTAGCTTTACCTTCTGGATCTTAGGGACTTTTGGTTTACTGTGATACTTCTCGGTAGGATTGGGAAGCGTTTTTGATGCAGCATAGATGAGTGATTGCTTATGCGTCCCGGCAACTTAAGAACACGAGCAAAACTACCCTATCCATGATTTAGAGCTTGCAGCCGTGGTGTTTGCACTAAAGATCTAGAGGCATTATCTGTACGGTGAGTCGTGTGAAGTTTATACAAATCATCAAGGTTTAAAGTATATATTCGACCAGAAGGATCTGAACCTCAGACAACGTAGATGGATGGAGTTTCTCAAGGGCTACGATTGTACGATTTTATATCACCCAGGAAAAGCGAATATTGTTGCTGACGCTTTGAGTAGGAAATCCATGGGGAGCTTGGCCCATATTGCTTCGATGAGATGACTGCTGATTGTGGCATTACACAGTCTCCAGGGCGACAGGATATAGTTACAGATTGATGATACCGGGCGATTATTAGCACAGTTACGTGTACAGTCGTCCTTGATTGACAGAATCAAGGCAGAGCAGGACAGAGATGCCAGGCTATACAAGCTGAAGGAGGATGTCCAGACAGGTAAAGGTGCTGATTTTAGATTAATGCAGAGGGGGTACTTCGTTGTAGGGGCTAATTGTGTGTGCCTGATGTGGATGACTTGCGGCATACGATTCTGTCAAAGGCACACAGTTCCAGATACACTATCCACCCTGGTGTCACAAAGATGTATCAGGATTTGAGACATCTTTATTGGTGGGACGGATGAAGAGGGATGTAGCAGATTTTGTTTCGAGATGCCTAACCTGCCAGCAGTCAAGGCCGAGCACCAGAGACCTGCTGGGCTACATCAGTAGATTGAAATACCAGAGTGGAAGTGAGAGGGCATCGCCATAGATTTCGTGACTGGACTACCGCGTACCACGGGAGGATATGATTCTGTTTGGGTTGTTATTGACCGACTGACCAAGATTGCACACTTTCTCCTGGTTAAGATGAGCTACAGCGTGACTCAGTATGCCCAGCTCTACGTGGATGAGATAGTGCGCTTACATGGGGTACCCCGGTCTATTATTTTTGATAAGGGATCTCAGTTCACATCCCAATTTTGGAGGGCGTTCCAGGAGGCTTTGGGAACCCGCCTAGATTTGAGTACAACATTTCATCCACAGACTGATAGGCAGTTAGAGAGGATGATTGAAATTTTAGAGGATATGCTGCGAGCTTGTATTATGGACTTTGGAGGCGGTTGGAGTCAGTACCTCCCTTTGATCGAGTTTGCCTACAATAATAGTTACTAGTCCAGTATTCATATGGCGCCATTTGAGGCTTTGTACGGCAGCTGATGCAAATCTCCGATTGGGTGGTTCGAGGCCGGGGAGACGAGTTTGCTAGGACCAGATTTAGTCTGGGACGCGGTAGACAGAGTTTGGATGATTCGAGATCGACTGTCTGTGGCTCAGAACAGATAGAAGGCGTATGTAGACCACCGACGCCGTCCGTTAAAGTTTGCTGTTGGAGACCACATCTTTTTGAGAGTTTCTCCAATGAAAGGGGTGGTCAGATTTGGCAAGAGAGGTAAGCTTAGTCCCCGGTATATCGGCCCTTACGAGATATTGGATCGAGTGGGAGCTGTTGCATACCGTTTGGCTCTTCCTCTAGAGTTATTAATCGTACATCCTATTTTTCATGTTTCTATGCTAAGGAGATTATGCGCCAGAGATACCCCCATCTGTTCGATGGGCAAGGTACGTGGTAGCATTAAAATTCGAGGGTGAATTTCTATAAGGGGGGAAGAATGTAATAACCCGGTTATAACAAAAAAAAAAAGAGAAAAATCTAGCCGAAGTCGGCCAAACAACCCATAAACCCGTTTGCTCCAATCAGATTTAAACAACTCCAATTAGCTTTTGGAAAAGCTGGTATATAGGGACAAAACGAAATTGTGAAAGCTGATAATGAGTGAATTACTGAGAACAGAAAAGGGAGAATTTGATCTGGAAAGGGTCGCGGTGTCCATGGGTGAGCCGACGGGAAAAACCTTGTTTTGGTTGAGTTTTGTTCCAATTAATCGTGTTTAGGAGGCTCACAAGCTTCGGAAATCCAGTTGGGAGGTTTCAATTCAGTTGAGGTAAGCTTTTTCGGGAGTTTTAAGGGGGTTCAGGGTGCTTGGGTCTGTAACCCGGGTCTCGGGCGAGGAAAACAAACTCCCGGGTTTGTCCAGCGTTGACTGGGTCGGTTCGGCCCAGTCCGCTTTGACTAGGCCGGTTTAGGCTGCAGACCAACTCAAACTAGGGAACCAAAATCGGTTCCCAGCCCAGGACACCTTAGGGAAGGTGCCTGGACCGGTTTTAGGTGGTGAACCGGCCCCGTTTACCTAGTTTAAGGGAGAAAGTGTTAACCTGACCGGTTTTTGTGGTTTTTAGGCCGCTTTAGGGGTTTAGAGCCCTGATTCAGTGGGTTTTTGTGGGAATCTGGGTCGGTTCAGTCCGGTCCTCTGTAATTGGGGATCGGTCCCTCATGGTCAAGAAGACTAAAGTCCGGTTCACCCCGATTTTATGGATTTGAGCCCAGTTCGGCTTGGTTCACGGGAAATGGGCTCGGTTCAGCCTGATTTGGTAGAGTTTTGGCTACGTTTAATTCAAGTTTTAGTAGTTCAAGCCTAGAGTGGTTCGGGTATGAGGTCTAGAGGTCTCGGGATGTGTGTAAAGGGATGGTGATGGGGGAGGTCCCGGGCCACTTTTGAGAGTTGAGTCTTTTTAGAATAAGACCCAATTTCGATTTTGACTTTTGATTTGGTGATTGTAGATACTCTAAAGGAGACACACTTCAAGCAATGAGCCGTTGGCATGAGTTTTGGTGCCTCGTTTAGCGTGCCAAGTGAGTGACAGTATTTTCTATACATGCATCTGTATTTTTGATTTTCTGACAAATTCTTGGATTCTGATTCCTGGACTTGATTTCTGATTTCTAATATTCGAATTCGGGACATGTATCTATATATTTTAAATTATGATAAATTTGGAAATATTTCTGTACTTAGACATTTGTGTGTCTCAGTCATGCATGTGTTTTAAAGGTTACTTGTGGTGAGTCTTTGTGATCCAATTTCTGAGGAACACGGGGGTGTTCTAGCACTATGTGCCATCTGTGATTTCTGGCTCTGGTTCTGATACGGGATCCCAGTATGATATGATTTCTGATGAGATCCGATATTCCGACAGGTATTTGACATTTTGTTTCTGATTTTGTGTGTGAACGATATGCATATATATATGTATATATACCTGCAGGTGTTATATGAACATATGTGGATTTTGTAAACTGTGATCCATGTCCCATCTTGTCTAGATTTTATTGTTATTCACTGAGTTTTATAATCATCCCTTTCCTCCCCTTTCAGATTGTTGCTCTGGTCGCAGTGGTAGCTTCTGGGTCGATTTCATCCTCTGTTACTCCACTGTGATGTACGGGCACTTTTGTATCATTTCTGTTATTTGTACTTTAGTAGCTCCTTGTATTCCTCAAACCCTTTTGACGTATATATATACACCTGCATTTCGATGTTTGTACTGCTGCGATACTTTTCTATTTCGACCTGGTTATAGGCTGATTGAGGTTGGTAAGCTGACCCTAGTGCTGGTCACACCGTTGGATTGAGGCATGACATCTTCCCAGAGATCCATTTCTTGGAGGTTCGAATAAACACCCAAAGAATCATTAATACCAAAAAGTTCATCGTCAGTAGTGGCGTTGCAATGAAGAGCGAGAGGCAGTTGACTCGAATGTCAAAGCGGCCCAACTTTGCCGCAACATTCCTAGTCAGCCCCACCACGGCGTGCTTCGTGCTTGTATGGGCATGTGATGCCATGCTGCCCAAGCCGAGGAGACACTTCCCACTGTGATGATGTTGTCGCTACTCGTGAACCAAAAATATGGTAGGGTCAAATTTCAAATGTTAATGTAATTATTATAAATTAGCTCTCAAATTACAATCATGTGATGATTATATTGAGCAATTTTACCTTTGTGCAGGGATCATCACCCTGGTTGCGTGCTTGGTATCGAGGAAGACACCGGTGAGGTTGATGCCGACGACCCTTTCAAATTCTGACTTTTGATTGTCCAAAATGCTGGGTTTTTTCTCATCCCCCACAGCAGCGTTATTCACCATTATGTCGAGCTTGCCGTCCCTGGTGACAGCACTGTTCACCGTATTTTCTACATGGGACTCATCTGTCACATCACATTGGACGAAGTTGGCCACTTTCGGACCCAAGTCTTGGCACACTGCGCGGCCAGGTTTGTCCAAAATATCCGCAATTACCACCTTGGCTCCATTCTTGGCGAATACCCTAGCAATGGATTCTCCAATACCACGGGCTCCGCCAGTAATCAGGGCCACCTTGCCCCCTAATCTGAACCATCCACGCAAAATGGGATTTAGGCCAATTATAGAATGGAGAGGAGATTTTTAAGTTTCTTCGGGTGCAACAAATATAGGAGCTAGTTATTTTATTAATCAATGTCTTGACTGAGGAATAATTTTATACATGTACATATACACATATACATATATGCAATAAAAAATTAAATAAACAATTTATTTAAATATTATTAAGTAGTAATAAATCAAATTTAAAATCAATTTTAACTGAATTAAATGATTCTATTTAATTTGTAATTAAATTAGTTTAGTTTAATTTTAAAAAAACCTAAACCATAAAACAAAAATCTAAACAAATTATCAAAAATCAAACCAAGATTTTAGTTTGCACATTCTTAAAAATTATACCGTGCTTATTCTTAATTAGTAGGAATAATTTTTATTATTTAATGTACTTCTTTTTTGACCAGATGTTTAATATAGCTGTTGACAACAGGAACTTAAAACTGAATTTTATGTTTACTTAGGCAAAATTTCATACATGGGCTGTACGTAAATTCATAGTAAATTAGGATTTTAGTATTTTATATAAATAAATATAAAAGTATGTCATAAATGTTGATAAAAGTCATTAAAATATTTGTATCCATTAATGTACAAATGATCAACACATAAAATAGTAAGTAATCTAATGTAGTATATTCGTGCCAATGGGCAAAAATCTACAAATTGCAAGAAAATCTAGCAATTTTGTAACTAGGGTGTTCCTAGTTTTTTTTTTTAAAAAGGAAAAGAGTTGCTTTCATTTTCAGTTTATTTTAGAAAATCTCTAATAATCTGTCATCGTTTATACTCGTATTAGTGAGTAAATTAAATAAAATAATACCTGAGTGAAGGGCTTGCCATTGTGGAGCTATTGATAGTGGTATTTTATTGCTAGTTACTTGTCATGTCCTTCACAGCTTTGACATCCCAGCTTGGAGGCATTTTATTTTCCTTATATAGGTAGAGGTGCGCAAAATTAAACTAATTAATTAAATTAAACTAAATTAAACTAAATTAAAATTTCAAATTTCAAATCAAATTTTAAATTTTGGTTTAGTTTGATTTTAAAAAAATTATCCAAAATTATAATTTGGTTTGGTCTAAAACCAAACCATTTTTAAACCAAAAACTAAAATTTTGAAAATGTTTCTTCTTTATAAAAAAAATATTAAAACACACGTATACACATATTTATATAAATATGTATTTATAAATATATATATATGTATACATATATATACTTATATATGTATATACACACACACATATATTGTCACGCCCAAACTCAGGCTCGTGACAGGCACTAGGATCACCTCACAACCACAACAACATACTCAAAACGATATAAAACATGTATACACGTCTCAAATCGAGCAAATACAACCCAAGATCCTGCTTAAGTAATAAGGAGAGCACTAGAATACAAAAACAAATAAATAAGGAACTCGCCTGTATATCAAACAGAGCTGTAGATGACCGCCTCGACTCAGGCATGCTATTCGAGAACAGCAACCCAAATTTGAAAAGTTTATAAAAAATGAGTTGTGAAAGTCAATGAGTACAGATGATATGTAGTCTATGCATGTTGGAATATACATCGCGCCACAAGTCCAAAACCATACATATACAGTGATTAGTAAAACATATCAAACATACGCTTAAAGTACCCTCAACCAAACATTATATCACATCGTTGGACCCAGGCCTACTCACCACTGGACGCTGCGGATCACCATACTCTAGTCGAGTTCCTGGAATCACAATCACTTCACACAACCTAGGCCGACTCACCACTGGATGTTATGGATCACCGTACTCCAACCGAGTTCCTGGCATCCCCAAATCACATCACACGATAACATCCTCACATATACGTCAAAAACAAGTATACACACATATATACAGTTTATGTCTCAAAAACCAGTGTTACATACCAACATAACTCACTGACAGTTCATAAAACTTATAACACATATCCCGAGTATATCATATAATTAAAATACAATTTCTAACTCACATAATCATCATGTTAGGAAACCACAGTATGAAAACACAAGTATAAAGAGAGTATCATCACTCACTATACAGTCAAGTCAAAAGTCTCGAGCCATCTCAACCAACTCAACGGTCTGGATGCTCCTCCACAGGTGGATTTGAAACCAAAACCATCACCAACCCTATCACTAGCACAAGAAACGGGCTCGACAGCCAAAACTAGACTTAAATCATGTCCCTTACACCTTGGCACGCGTCCCAAGACACCACTATTAATCTCCAAAATTCACACGACTCATTAACACTCAATGCTTTGGCCCAACAACTCTCAACCATAATGAACCAGCCTCCACAATCCCCAAACCATCATGAACTGGTAGCCAAAACCCTCAAACCAACCTCACCCAGCCCAAAATTACCTCAAACTCAACTAGATCGGTCATGAAACCCTCAAAATCGGATTCGGAAGGCCTAAAAACCTTAGAGACCACCCTAAACCAGCCATGAACCTCTCAAAACTAAGCTGAACCGGGCCAAAAACCTTAATTCTAAGCATCAGCACACGAACCGAGCCTAGTTCACCTTGAACCACTCACCCAAAAATCACCAAACCACAGGGCTAGCTAGGTTTCATTTTGTTGAATTAGGAACCGATTCAACTTCTCTAAGAACTGGCCTAAAAACCAGTGAACCGGTCGCCCAAAAGATAACATACTAAACCGGCCGGTTCACTTTGAACCGGCCATCCAAAATTTTTCAAAACCACTTGATCTAACAACCCTCGTCCCACTAAAATAGGAAGCGGTCTATTTGCCCAGAAAACTGGCCAAAAGAGCCTCGAACCGGTATGTCAAACCTTCGGTCCACCCTGGTTGGTTCACTTTCCCAAAACCTTAATCCAATTATTTAAATAATAAATCCTATAATATCTAATTCCTACTATCCCCAGACAGTCCTTATCCTTGGTTTGTTTTATTCCCAGGATAACATATCCTTATTTCACCACTGGGTTGACTCATAGGTTAACCCAGTTGATTATATAGTGGGCTGAGTCAACCCACGAGTTGACTAAGCCCAAACCAACACAGCGGGCCAGCCCACAGGCCATGGCCCAACCTAGCTAGATCCAAGCCTAAACAAGGCCGACCCAACCTGCACAGACCTAATCCCATCCTGGTCTGTCATCTCTACTCGATTCCCAACCTGGAACTTGAACATGGCTCTATAACGCGACCCGGAGCACAAACAAGCCCCAAAACTCGGATCGAAGCTTACCTGAACTAATTGGAAGTCTGAAATGACCAAAACTGAAACCCGCGAGCCTCAAGAAGCCTTTTGATTAGAGAAAAACAGATTGAACCACCTTCAATCTCCGGAAAAACCCAGTTCAGGCACGGACGAACTGACCGAACTAGTGAAGCCTAAATTCTCTCTCCTCTCTCTTTAAAACTGTCAATTTCTTCCTCTACATGGCTCGCCTCTCCTCCACAAATTAATATCCAAAAGTTTGAAATGTTGGCATGCTCCCATTGGAGCAAATTGGTTTCGAGGAACTTCGGCCGGGTTCCGGCTAAAAATCTTCCCCTTATCACAATTCGGCCCTCTCAAAATTTCTCTCTTGCAATTAGCCCCCCCTCCCACTTCTAAACTGATCCCCAGATTTAACCCCTCTCACACCCAGATCCTTCCTCTTTCAATTCTCTCAATTTAGCCTTAGAATTTTCGAGATTAACCCCTTATCTTTTCCAAATTTCGCAGAAACACTCCAAAATCTTTAATTTGTTCATTGACACCCCTGAACCTATTAAATTTGCATATTTTCATAATAAAATGAAAATTAGGACCATTACATGTACATACATAAATACGTAAATATATGCATTTGCATTTTTATGCATGTATGTATATACCCATTTGTATGTGTGTGAGTGTACACGCACACATATATTTTTTTATATATATATGAATATATGTATATATATACACATATGAATATATACATATATATGTGTTATGTATGTGTGTGTGTGTGTATATGTATTTATGTATGTATACACACACATACGCATCTATATATACATACATAAATACATAAATGTATGTATTTACATATTTATGCATATATGTATATACTCATATGTATGTATGCGTGTACACACACATATATGTTTTTATATTTATATGTATATATATATATATACACACATATACACACACATGCAGATACGTGCATATACACACATATTTGATAACAATAAATCAAATAAATAATTTATTTAAATATTTTTTAAATAATAATAAATTAAACTTAAAATCAAACTAAACCAAACTAAAATTTTAAATTAGGTTTGATTTTATTTGGTTTATAATTAAATTGGTTTGGTTTAATTTAATTTTTAAAATATTAAAACAAAAAAAATTAAAAACTAAACTAAAATATCAAAAATCAAACTAAAATTATACTTTACACACCCTGTATGTACACATAACCAACTAACCAACCAACCTACTTACCATGGATATGTGCCTTAACATTTTAAACGGTAGATAGGTGTGAACTTCCCCAACTCAATTGGCAGCATTTATTGTAAATTTAACTTTCTAAATCGAAATCAAATATGCGACAAGCAACCAATTTTCAGAATTCTGTGATCGACTATTGACACCACAAAACGAATTGATTAATGCTTTTTCCTTAAATAAATTAATTTTAAAAATAAGCTCAAAAACTAATTTTTCAGAATGTTAAAGAGTTCCAAAAGAGATTAAATTTTTCTTTTTAAAAAATAATGCCTCGTATTAAGAGTGTTTTCATTTATTTAATTTTTTTGAATAACTACAATTTGTTGACACATTTATAAATATTTTGAACAAATTGAAGAAAAAAGATGGTTGTTATTATTTTATTACTATATACTTTTTTAAAGAAACATGAAGTAAGTTTTTAAAAATAAAACATAAAAAGAAAAGTTTAAGTTATTAAACCAAGCACGGCAAGCTTCATGCGTGAGTTGAAAGTAAGTGGGAGTAACATTTTGGGCATATGAAAATTGACATTTCAACAAATGCAAATATGATCCGATCATGCATCCAAGAAAGCTAATTGATGGCCACTTCTATTTGTTTGACGTCACCTTAAATAAAGAAAATTAAAAGTTAACAAGTAAACGAGTAAGAAGAAGCACGATTTGTTCTTCCCAAATAAAGCACTTAAATAATGGGAATGACGACACAGAACAACCAGCCTATGATTTCAGCAGTTTGGCCCCCCGCGGTTTGGAGCGCCAATAAAAACCTCCATATACGCGCCCAAAAAATGAACATTTAACCAAAAAAATAGAAAAAAAAAACTTTTATAAAAAAGCCATTTATTTTAAATAAATTGAATATAAAGATGAATTAATGGCTTTATTTGAGAATAAATCAATTTATAAGGGATATATTTTTTAATCATTGGGTACTTGATTTAATTGGTAGGAAAATGATAAAATATTTGATTAGTCTTAGTGATAATTATTTATTTTATTATTTAATATAATAAATTATTAGTTTTTTAAATTCATATTTAAATTACAATACTCATATATTGATAATTATATAATTGTCAACTAACTGTTTCGACCATTATTTTCAAATTAGTTATTATGACTATTTGTAATAAATTTTAAATACTAATTATCAATTTCATTCAAAGAGTTTTAAAATTTTGCTATATTCTGAAAATGATTATTTAGTATTGATTTAATAATGGGATAATATCTACTTTAAAAAAAGTAATTTCATATTGCAAAGTTATCATTTTCAATGTGTTTGCAATCCTATGTTCTGGCAATAGTAAATAATTAATTCATTTTTTTTCTTAGAAA